TCAGTGGTGGTAGCCGCTCCAAAAGCCAGGCGGAAGAGCTCCATCTTACAGGCCCTGTGGAACTGTAACAGGACCTGCAGGGCCCTAATCTCCTCCGGGAGCTCATTCCACCAGAATGGAGCCGCCACCGAGAAAGCCCTGGCCCTTGTTGTCACAAGCCTGGCCTCCTTGATGTTTGGGAGGACCAGCTGATTCTGTGTCGCGGTGCTCTCTGGGGGACATATGGGGAAAGGCAGTCCCTCAGGTATGCAGGTCCCATAACTTGTAATGCCTCGCTATGGGAGGGCTGCACGATATTGCCCCATTTTGACGGATCTCAGGAGCTAAGCAGGTCAGTACCGGTGTTCCCTCTAAGCTGAGTTAGTGTGAGCTAGCTCACAGTTTTTAACCTCTGGTTCACACATTGTTGTCTTTGCTCGGGAAGGAGGGCTCCAGAGCACGCTAATTGAGGCAGCAGCCAAATTGCTCGCTCACAACTTTAACGCCAGCAGCTCACAAAGTAGAATTTTTGCAATGTATAAGAACAATAGTTAAAAGATATGTTATGGGTAGACTTTGTTTATCAAGGAAGGGGGAAAGAGGGGACTATAAGATATGGGCTGGAGGTTGGAGCACTGTGGGAAGTCAAAGGGGTGGGGAATTAGGAGGATTAGAAGAAAAGGATATATGATAGTAGAGTGATGTATGATTGATTTACTAATATATCCTAATAAAATTGTTTTTTTAAAAAAAACAAAGTCGAATTTTTGCTCACAGGACTCCGCAGCTTAGAGGGAGCATTGGCCCTCTGCCTCTTGCTGACCTTTAAATGACCCTTGCTGAGGTCACCACCCATCCAAGGTGGTGGCAGAAAGTGCCACCTTGTCACGGTCCATTTATGGTGGCCCCGTAGGGTTTTTGAGGCAAGAGATGAACAGAGGTGGTTTGCCATTGCCTGCCTCTGCATCCATCCACATACATATAACTCTGTTAAGGATCGCAGCGTTAGCCACAAGGCAGAAGAAGAACGTTAAAGAATGTTATACACCACCAAGTATCACAGGATGTTCCCAGTGTTTGTGAGACAAGCATGATCTCCTTTACTTCTTCACTGTCCTGTGAAATCTTTGTTAGTTCCTGAATTTCTGTGTTAAAAAATATCAAATGAAGAAGAGGATGAAGAGATTGGATTTATACCCTGCCCTTCACGACCCAAAGGAGTCACAGAGCATCTTACAATCCCTTTCCCCTCCCCACAACAGACACCCTGTGAGGTAGGTGGGGTTGAGAGAGCTCTCTCCAGAACTGCCCTTGAGAGAACAGCTCTGAAAGAACTCTGAAAGAACTACTCCTTCAGGTAGTGAAGGGTGGGGTATAAATTCAATCTCCTCCTCTTCTTCTTCCTCCTCCTCCTCCTCCTCTTTTTTTCCTTTCAAAAAAGTTTTATTAGAATTTCCAATAAATGAAGTACAGGTAAAATAGTAACCGCCTAGGTAACAAGTGACACCACATTTGGACTATGCAGGTACAATGAGCAAATAACCTGACTATGTACATAGAGCCAACAAACAGTACAGGTATCTAACAAATTCCAGAGGACGAGGAAGAAAGTAAACTTGTATATGAATGTAGTTAACATAAGAACATGTTGATTTTAAACAAAGGCCACTATTCAGAAGCTAATAGTTCTGCGTCTACCTTTTCCAGGAAAGGGAACCATTTGTCTAGGGGGTCTAGAACCTTTCACCCTAGCATAGAGCGATCTTCTTCTTCTTCTTTAAAAGAAGACCAAGGAAACTTCTAATTGCTAATATCAGAGGAATGCAATCCTGGACAGGCGGCAGGAGAACAAACCCGCACGGCCAAATTTATTGTCTACATTCAGCTTAACCTGGTTGTTACTATTTATGGGTCCATCAGTTAGAACGATGGGGACCACAACATGGGCCCAGGAGACTGAGGAGACTGTCGTCAACGCCTTCCACTCAAATTAGGACGATTCCATCCAAACTAATGAGGCTGGCTGACTCCTTGGAGAAGACTAGGTGGAGCAGCCTTGGACGCTCTTACCCAGTGCTTACCTTTCCCCTAGGGCAGCTCCTTTCCGGTAGCTTACCATTTGGAAGTCATATAAAAGCATTTGCTTATCATCGCGTCCTTCAAACCTATTTCGGTCTGTTGTGTCTACTAGCACTTGACATCTACTCTGGTAAGTCACTGAATTACGGGATCTATCTGGTTCAGAGAGGTCTCTACACTCTTGAGGGATTGCTTGTAGGGTTCTGGGTGGCCAAGGTCATTACCCAGTGGTTGGGATGAATTCTATTTGGGTAGAAATTGAGAGCAGGTGTGGTATTAATCCCCACCGGAGGCTGCAGAGATGGTTTTTGATGGACACGCAAAGGCCGAGAACGTATCATCCACTCGTTCCAAGGCGCTACCGCTGGAACCTCCTGGAGTTTCATTTCAGAAGAGGCAGCCTCATGGACGAATGATGATGGGGGGGGGGAGAGAATTAGAGAGGATAAAGGAGATAAGAGGGCTGGAAAAGAGAAACAGAGAGGCAGCAGCAGGAACAGCTGAGCTGGTTTATTAGAGCGAGAGTTGCCTGGGGGGTTCCATTAACAGAAAGCAGATGGAGAAAAGAAGAAAAAGGCGAACAAAAAATTATCTGATGGATGAGAGAGGTTCAGTATTCAGGCTGGGATGGCTCTGAGGGTTGCCTTTGGGCACCCCAGCTTTTCAAAGCAGTTTATTAAGATCTTATCACACGGATTAAAAACGGCATTTATCTCTGTTCTGTAAAGTACGAGTTTGCTGTGTACCGGTCTCCTACTTGGCTACCTTGCGACTCTTTCTTTGCAACGCCCTCCCTCGGGTTCTTCAAGAGCCACTCCTGACTCCAATGGCTTTTGCTGGCTGCTGATTTGCGAGGAGTACATGTTATGGTATCAAAGGGGTAAGGGAGGGGGATGCTTCCCTTACCCCTTGAATCAAGGGAATGTGGCTGCCAAATGCATCCCATCCCGGCTGCATAGCATCCAGGCTGTGTCTCTGTCACTTTCCTGTTTGCAGGAGGCACGAGCCTTTTGATGCGAGCCAAAGTGTACAGATCACCCAGACTGTGACAGATCCCAGATCACTGCAGACTGTGACAGCAGTCATGAAATTAAAAGACGCCTGCTCCTTGGGAGGAAAGCAATGGCGAACCTAAACAGCATGATAAAAAGTAGAGACATCACCCTGCCAACAAAAGTCCGCATGGTCAAAGCAATGGTATTCCCAGTAGTCATGTATGGCTGTGAGAGTTGGACTATAAGGAAGGCCAAGCGCAGAAGAATAGATTCTTATGAACTATGGTGCTGGAGAAGACTCTTGAGAGTCCCTTGGACTGCAAGAAGAACAAATCAGTCAATCCTCAAAGAAATCAACCCTGACTGTTCCCTGGAAGGCCAGATAATGAAACTGAAGCTAAAATACTTTGGCCACCAAATGAGAAGGGAGCACTCACTGGAGAAGACCCTGATGCTGGGAAAGATTGAAGGTCAAAGAAGACGGGGACGGCAAAGGATGAGATGGTTAGACAGTGTCATCGATGCAACGAACATGAAGTTGAGCAAACTTCAGAGGATGGCGGAAGACCGGAAGGCCTGGAGGGAGCTGGTCCATGGGGTCGCAAAGAGTCGGACTCGACTGTGCGACTGAACAACAACAAAAAGTGTACAAGTCAAAGGATTCCTTTTTGGGTTTTGGTCAGGAGAGTTTTCAAAACTGTTGTATAACCCTCCCCCCTTCCCGAGTTCTATCTGGGAGAGAAAAGGATTCATTCAGGGCTTTTCGTTAACAAAGCAGGCAGTTTGATTAAGAATGACCCATCTGAGGTGAGCTCGTCAGAGTGCCTCACAAACAAGCTGGCATAAAGAACAGATAGAAAGTTCTTCTTTTATAGTATAAGACAAAACAAAGCGGTCAGGGTCTGGTATTTCAAAAAGAATTAATCAATTCCATTCTCAAACATAACTCGCGCCACCCTCTGTTCAGAGTACATCCTACATTCCTAAAAGGGACACAAGAAAAACAAACCTTCTAAATGTTTCTTTGAATGATAAGAATGACACAGACCCTTGACTGAGATAAGGTTGCTTAGAGATCAGCAGGTTTACAATGGGGGTGTTAGGGAGAAACAGAACCTCTTTAAAACATATCACGTCAACATAGGGCTCACAGTTTAAAGACCATTATAAGACTCTCAATCTTGCTTGACAGTATAACTTTCACCATATGTCCAAAATAGTAAAAAGCCCAGTAGCACCTTTAAGACATATGAACTTTACTGTAGCATAAGCTTTCGAGAAACAAAATCTGACAAAGAGTGCTGTGTTTCTCGGAGGCTTATGCTACAATGAAGTTAGACTTAAAGGTGCTACTGGGCTTTTTAACTATTTTTCAGCAACAGATGAACACACCTAACTTCTCTGGATCTATGACCATATGTGCAAATTTTCTTAACAGGTTTTCCCCCCTGTTTATTTTAGTTGTGATCTGCATATTTATTTTAGTTGCGATTTGTACGTTTAGTTTGTTTATTTTAACTGTAATTTTGGTGATTTTGAAAGTTTCTTGGATTCTCCTTGGGGAGAAATGTGGGATAAAAAGACCTAAATTAATCAGTAACCCAAAACAGCACTGGCAGGTGCAATAGCAGAAAGTAGGTTCAGAGATAACTTCCCAAATTCTCCTCCCAATGTGTCCCTGGAGGTGGGCCTTCTGAAGTCTCCTTTGAACAGAGACACTAATGCATTAGCAATCTGCTTTCTTGGGATGGTTGTGACTGCAATGTCTGCATTACTAATTCATGGAAGCAAAATTCTGGGCCGAACAGGAATTTTGATGTTGTGTGTGGGTTAAGTGATGTCAAGTCAATGACCTTCAAAATGTCCTATCCTGAACAACCTCACTCAGGTCTTGCAGACTGAGAGCTGTGGCTTCCTTGATGAAGTCAATCCATCTCCTGTTGAGTCTTCCTCTTTTCCTGCAGAAGATCAGCTAGAAGTTGCTCAGATTATGTAACATCTGTTTCCCAGGAAATATTCTAAGGTATTGTTCTTCTCCGTTTGTGAGCAAAAGACAAGTGATTTCCAAACTGTGTTCTGGGGTGTCCTTGGGATTCTTTAGTAAGAGCATAAGAACATAAGGGAAGCCATGTTGGATCAGGCCAGTGGCCCATCCAGTCCAACACCCTGTGTCACACAGTGGCCAAAACCCAGAGGCCATCAGGAGATCCACCAGTGGGGCCAGAACTCCAGAAGCCCTCCCACTCTTGCCCCCCCAAGGACCAAAAAGACAGAGCATCACTACCCAAGACATAAGAAGATAAGAGAATCCATGTTGGATCAGGACAGTAGCCCATCCACTCCAACACACTGTGTCACACAGTGGCCAAAACCCAGGGGCCATCAGGAGGTCCACCAGCAGGGCCCCTTATTCTAGATCCAATCAAGCCTGAACTCTCCCTAGAAGCTAAAGTGATTAAACTGAGGCTATTGTACTTTGCTCACATTATGAGAAGACAAAACCCACTGGAAAAAACAATCATGCTGGGAAAAGTTGAAGGCAACTGAGAAAATGAGAAATGGAACATTTAAACTTTGCAGTTCTGGGAGCAAGAGAAATAACGTGGATTAGCACATTTTCATTCCAAAAATTATGAAGTGTTTAATGACTCAGGGAATGGCAAACACAGAAGAAATGGAGTTGCGCTAATAGTGAGACAAAAAAGTAGCACAGGCAGGCAGGAGCTATAATGCAAAGTCTGACCAAATAATATCTGTCGGACGTCATGGAAAGCCTATCAATATAACCATAAAGACTGGCGACGAAGACATTGAAATTCTTCAAATTTTCCTGTTCTTTGGCTCCATCAGGTACCACCAAAAAGACAAATAATTACGTGATCAAAGCATGGATGTGGCCAGATTGCATTTTTCGAGGAAGGTCCATAGTTGACGTTGTTAGCAGAAATAGGCACCAAATAGCAAGGGCCTTATGTTCTTACTGAGTAGCTGTAATCATCTGAAATGCTGGGTGGATCCTAACTATGAGCGGAAGGAAAATAACTGCTGGCAGTGTTCTACAAATGATGGCACGGTTACTAGAGGAAGATTTCACGCCACGCGATACAAACATTCACACATCTGCACGGACATTTTACCCCTATGTCTCATGTAAACTGAAAACAGGTTGGATCCCACCGATTCGATCTGTTAAAGGCGGTGCCTTCCCCTGGTACAAGGGGAGGCCTCTTGCATCATAAGAAAGGCTCCTTGTACTAGAGAAATCAACACAGACAGTGGGAGGTATCCTACCATAGAAACAAATACTGAGAAAACAGTCGTGAGAGTCTGGCCCACAGATCAAGACAGTCAATGAGACTTACAAAGAAAATATTTTCTATATACTGTTGCAAATAAACACTACATAACAATGAGCAAATTCCATCACATCATAAGAACATCCTTGTATAAGAATGCATCAAAGTCGTCTCCGGATTTTATAACATCGTTTCCAAAAGCGGATCTTCCTCAGGAAATACTGTGTAAAGTAGTACAAGAGCTTTCATGCTCATAAAGTGCTATATAAAAGTAATATTTTAATGCCAAGTTCAATAACACAATAACCATATAGTAAGATGGAGCTGCGGTGGCTCAAGTGGTTAAGACACTGAACTGCAGGCTGTGGAAGGTCAGTAGTTCAGCAGTTTGAGATCCGGGTGCCACATGATGGAGTGAGCTCCCATCTCTAGTTCCAGCTCCTGCCAACCTAGCAGTTCGAAAGCAAGAAATAGCACCGCGAATGGGTGGAAGAAGGGGATATTCGGGCCCCTTACCTGATCCGTAGTTTCCACAGAAGGTTCCCGGACAAACCGGGAGGTCTCCCGCCCAGCCCGGGAGATCTCCCGCCCGGCCCGGGAGGTGTGTTGTAAGTGTATTTTAAGGGGGGCAGTATGTCAGCAAGCTGCCATTCTGTTTTCTGTGACCTCTGTGTACATATTCTTTCCCTGTTGCACCCGGCTTGGTTTCTATCATCCTACTCCTGCGTTGGAATGCAAAAGATAACTGCTGGAGGTTGTGTGGGGGAGAAGATGCTGTAATGCTTGGCTATTGCTTTTCCCATGACTACTGCACCTGTGTTATGTCTAATATCCTGCCTGGTTCCCATGGACTGGGCGCGCAACCGTTCCATTAGCCCGCCAGCGGGAAAGTTATTCATTGGACCTGTATCTCTTTGAAGTTCCTTTATTATGCTTGATCTAACTGTGTATCCCCAGTTCTAACAAAGAACGTGTTTGAGTATGTCGTCAACGCTTTGAAATAAATTTTGCTTTTCTTAAAACGTGGATTTATTCTCGATGCTTGGGGATCCAACATATTGTTAGAACTCTCTTTTTCCTATCGTTCCGAATCTGGCGAGATCATGAGCGGAATTGAGGGAAACCTACCTACCACGGAGGGGGACTCTGGATCGGTCCCACAAACCTCCGCGTCTTTGGTGTTCACGACTGCAGCCTCGTTGGAGGGTGCCGTGGGGGGAGCGATTCCCCGCCTGCCTGCACATCTGTCTTGGCCGCCTCCGACCCCTTCGCAATGGGGTCCGCGGAAGACTCACCAGCAGGATGATTGGACTATGTACAACACCCAGGGCACCCGTGAGGTGTACTCCCGTCGGGGGAGCGGATTACGTGAGAGTCTATTTGACAAGGGATTGTTCCCGGAGCCGGGGGCTACCTCGGAGAAGGGGAGCCCCGAGCGGGACCTCGAGGAGTGGATGTTCGAGCCGTCGGGACCGCGGGGCCACGCAGGAGATGAGGAGGGCACCGGAGTCTTCCCAACGGAAGAGGACTATGACCCACCCCCGGACTACCGCCCTCGGGACCCCATCCCGGAAGAAACCACCGGGGAACGACTAGCAGAACTGGAAGACTCGGTGAGAGACTTGTTGCGGGCATTCCAGGATGTGATGGAAGGTCTGCCGGGAATGATGGACGTTCGAATGGCTAATTTCCTTGACGCACACGCCGCGCAGCAACAAGTTGCTCCTGCACCGGGACTTCCCGCGCCGCCGATGCCTGCTCAACCGCTGACGGGACCACCGCTGCAAGCACCGGGAGTTCCAGCGCAGCAGGTACCTGTACAGCCGCCAGTGAGACCGCCTCTGCAAGTGCCTGTGCAACCGCCGATGCCGGGGGGTCCGCCGGTGCCGGGTCTGCCGCCACCACTGAGGCCAATGCCAGCGGGGCCACCGGTTGTGCCGGGTTTCCCTCCCAGGGGAGTTCCGGCTCAGCTGGGCCCGTTGGTAAGGCCTCCACGGCCCAGACCCAAGGATCTACTGGAGGCTACCTTCGACGGCAACCCAGATGAACTCGCTTTCTTCACGGTGAGGGTGCATAAATTCGTAGAAGAAAGTCGACACCTGTTCCGAAATGAAGCTGGTCTTATTGATGTCATCTCGGCAAGACTGAAAGGAGACGCCGCCACATGGTATGTTGGACTGCACAATGACCGCGGTCCGGAACTTTTGAATTTGCGAGCATTCATGTGGGCGCTGCGGGCGAGATTTGAAGATGTCAACGCGAGTCAAAGGGCTAAAGCGTTTCTCCGCACCTATCGCCAGAACAAGAAGTCGGTTCGCGAGTACACTCTGGAATTCCACAAGCAAGCCGCAAAGCTCCGAGACTACCCTGACCATATATTAGCTGAGATGTATCGCTTGGGTCTCAACGCAGATATCCGAGAAACGGTTCTGAAAACTGTCAACCCTGTCTCCCTAATGGCCTGGACCCAGGAAGCTGAAAATGCGGAAGACCGGCTCACCACCATCAAACTCGACCTGGCTGCTACGACCAACAGACCCGCCGCTGCCGGTGCCTCCAAACCCAAGCCTCAACGCCTGTCGGAATCAGCACGAGAACTACGTATGAAGATGGGGCTCTGTCTCAAGTGCGGGGAGAAGGGGCACTTCGCTGTGGATTGTGGCAGCCGTAAAGTACAGCCGCCTACTCCAAGCCCGAAGACACCGCTGACGGGGAAGAAGGGAATGGCTAAACCGCGTTTCTCCAAAGCTTTGCAGGCGGCCCAAGGCTCGGAGGGGAACGATCCGTCTGCTGCCGAGTCAGAAGAAGAGGTGGTGCCTGAAACGGCGGAAAACGACAACGGCCTGTTGTGAGAGGCGCAAAACGACAAGGCCATTCTAATGCTGCGCCCAAGGTGGTGAGAGAAACCCCTTCCCTATTTTTCGTGACTGTCTCATTAATGAATCCGCTCCTGGGAACCCACGTTAGGGTGAGAGCGTTGATTGATTCTGGGTGTGGGAGGGATCTCATCAGCCCTAGAGTGTTGTTGGCACTGGAAGCGGGGATAGCCCCCTTGAAGTCTCCCATCATTTTTACCCAGATGGATGGGGCACCCATGGAACCTTGTACGCACGAGACTATGGCTTTGCGGCTGGGGGCGGGCGATCATTGGGAATCCAGATCCTTCATTGTCACCCCTAAATCGCAATTCGACTTAGTTCTGGGGAGTCCCTGGTTGTTTACCCATGACCCTTACATCTTGTGGGAAGAAGGGGTTGTCAAGTTTGTGTCGGCTAAGTGTGTAAATCACTGCTGGGTGGACTCGTGGGGGGACCAGCCGACCGCGCAGTTCCCCTGCGGCACTTTGCAACCGGAAGAGTTAGCTTCTTTGCCTCGAGAGTATAGAGACTTGGCGAAAGTGTTTGGCGAAGAGGAAGCTAACGAATTGCCCCCCCATCGCTCGACTGACTGTGCTATTGAACTTTTGCCTGACTGTAAATTGCCCAAAGGTAAAATTTATGCGATGGGGCCGGCTGAGAAAGTTGAACTGCGGAACTTTATTGATAAAAACCTAGCCCGAGGTTTCATTCGCCCGGCTTCCTCCCCTTTCGCCGCGCCTGTACTTTTCCGAAAGAAGAAAGACGGGGGGCTCAGATTGTGCACTGATTATAGGGGTCTGAATGCTGTTTCTTTATCCAATGCTTACCCCCTCCCGCTAATCAAGGACTTGGTAGCTGAGGCCACCAAG